GGGGGGGGGGGAAGGCTGCGGCTTCTCATCTCTACACCTTAAACAAATGTCCCTTGAGGGACCACACTGTAAGTTCCATCACTTTATATTCTACAGAAAAAAAAGGATTACACATTTGTAAGTGGTTTTTTGACTAGGACCACTTGGAAGAGCAACACCATGGCAAACACCGGGAAGATGAGAAACACTTGGCCCCACAGAGCTGGGGTCGAGGACGCATGCACACCGTGAGCCCTATGCCTGCATCCGCTGGACTCAGCGCGGGCGGCCCACAGGTTCTGTCTCACTGTGCACATCCGAGAACGCTCCGCAAAGCACGAGGGCGCGGACTGTCCATGAGTAGGCAGGGACCCCAGCGGCGACCCCAGGCCTCGCCTGCGTGGGAGGATTTCGAAGCGGGTCCGCGGGGGGCAGGGGGGCCCTTGCCGCTCTGGCGGCAGGGGGCGCCGCTCCCCCGCCTGTGGATTGGAGGCTCTACCTGGGGGTCGTCCGGGGGTGGGGGTCGTCCGCGGGTGGGGGTCGTGGAAGCCGGGCTCGAGGACGGAAACGGACGTAAAGAGCGCACGGGCCAGCTCAGGGGAGGCGGCAGGGGTTCGTTCCGGACCCCGGACGGACATCGGGGGCGCTGGCTGGGAAGGCGAAGCAGGGGAGCCGACGGGGGGGGGGGGACCAGGCAGCTGGGCCCTGTTTGTTTACCCAGCTTCTGAGACTGGACCTCTCCCCAGGCAGCCCAGGGGTTCCGGCGAGGCACCGTGAAGGTGTGACCCCGGCCCCGGCTCCCCGCAAGCGTGACCCCTGCCCCGGCTCCCCACGGGTGTGACGCCTGCCCCGCTCCCCGCAGGCGTGACCCCTGCCCCGGCTCCCCACAGGTGTGAGGCCTGCTCTGGCTCCCCACAGGTGTGTCTCAGGCCCTGGCTCCCCACAGGTGTGACGCCTGCCCCGCTCCCCACAGGTGTGACGCCTGCCCCCGTCTGGGAATGGCCCCGTCCCGCCTGGTCCACAGGGAGACCAACAGTGGTTTGGAGGGCTGCCAGGGGGTCTCTCTCTCCGTGCTGTGGACAGCCCTGTGAAAAAGGACGCCATTGCTTTCCCGTCTCGTGCACACAAGGGCAACGTGAGCTCTGAACAATGGGGTCCATCTTTTTTGATGGAACCTCTACTATTAGCAACAGTTTTTGAACTTGCACCCAAATACATGTATATTTTTTATGTATTATATAAATGAATTCTTTACTGTCCGTTATGTACATTATAAAATATGCCTCAAAATAGAAAACAAAAATTAAACCAAGCCAGAGATGAAATAAAAAATTGAAAAGTAAGAACTTTAATCACAGTCCAAACTCTTTGTTCTAATTTATTGATTACTAACAAATTCTTTTCAAATCAATAGTTTGACTATGCTTTACATATATATATATATTTTTTTTTGACAATCTTGATTCAATACTTTGTGATATAGAAATTTGAAATTCTGATTCTAAACTCAGTTTCATTTGAAACATGGTCTTTATGGCAAGCAGGTGGGGCTGGAAATTGCTCACAAAGATGCATTGATGCAAATGAAGAAAACACAACTTTGGAAGCTCTTAATTAATCATGGCACTCATTTCTCAGTCCCTTTTACCAATTATGCCATTTCTGAAATTTGGAATCTCCAATATATGTTAAGTTTTTTGAAAAATTATACTTTCAGTAACTTTTAGGAGATCTATTTCTCCTGGAGGAAAGTTGGGATTATATTCCAAAGTCCTTACAAATGTGTCTATGAATTGATAGCAGTTGAACCTCTAGATATTGAAGTTTAGGAAAAAAGAGGCCCCCCCCCCATATTCTCAAGTTGAAGAGTGTATGTTGCTAAAGAAAAGTATTTATGGTTAATCATTTGAATGTAGGGGGAAATTAAAATTTGAATTTAACAACAATTTCCAGAAAGGATTGTTCTTCCCCTGGGGTTCATTTGGACTTTTGAATCCCTCACCCCAAATTCTGAATTATCCCACCACTTGGTAACTAACAATGCCAAGTCCTACGACTGGCTTGAAATCCCCATCATTCAAGTTCAGAGAAGGAGGTGTGTCGAGCCACTGGCTTCACTGGCTGGGCTAAATCACTCCTGTTTTCAATTCCACTTCCTCTGGGCTGTGCTCTGAGAAGATTGTTCTTGGGATTACTCAAGGACTGGTAGAGGGGCCTATGGCTAGAGCCTTACCCAAATTCTTTTGACACTGGGTTAGAAAAGATTCCAAAAGGAAAGGGAATATATGGAGCTGAAACCAATTTTCTGGTTTCTTATTTTATAAAGCACTTTTATCTTCAGATAAGTGTAGATTCACAGTTAAGTCGTAAGAAATAATATGGAATATCCCATGTAGTCTTTACTCAGTTTCCCCCAGTGGTACCATCCTGAAAAACTGTAACACAGAATCACAGAATCACAAAAACCAGGGTTTTGACATTGATGCAATCCACTGATCTTGTTCAGACTTTCCCAGATTTATGCTGATTTGTGTTCTGTGATTTTTTTCACATGTGTGTGTTCAGGAATCCTTCACCACAATCAAGACACAGAACATACTCTCCTCTCTCTTCTGTTCCCACTTCCTCCTTTTTCCCCAACTTGACTGAGATATAACTGACAAACTGTATGCATTTAAAGTGTACCAACACAATGATTTGATAAACATATTCATTATGAAATGATTCCCACGATCAGGTTAATTAATACATCCATCACCCCAGATGGCTAATATTTTTTTGTTTTGGTGAGAGCACTTATGATCTATTCTTTAAGCAAATACCAATTTTACAGTACAGTATTATTAACTATAATTACCCTGCTGAATGTTAGGTCCTCAGAACTTATAATAGAAGTTGTGCCTTTGACCAACATCTCTGCATTCCCCCCACTGTGATTACACGAATGTTAGATTTTTTGTTATTGTTCAGGGTCCACAAGACCCTGGGATCATGACCTGAGCCGAAGGCAGACGCTTAACGACTGAGCCACCCAGGCACCCCTCCCAGTTACTTTCTCTCTCTTGTTCCCATTGGGTGATTTATGTTGTTTTACCTCCCACCCAGTACACTAATCATTTCTACTGTCCCTTAATGTCTATCGAGTCTATCCTTTGAGTTTCGCATTTCAATTATTGTATTTTTCAGTTCTAAAATTTCCATTTTGTGATTATTTATATCTTCTATTTCTTTATTGAAACTTTCTGTCTTTCCATTTGTTCCAAGTGTGTTTGCCATTGTTTCTTGAAACATTTTCATGATGGCTGTTTTAAAATCTTTCTCAGATAATTTTCATATCTTGGTTGTCTTGGTGTAGGGCATCCTTTGCTTGTTCTTTTTCACTGAGTTTGATAATCTTGTCCTTGGCATTATGAGTAATTTTTAATTGAAATATGGCCTTTTTTGTATTGTGTTTTAATTAAGTTTTAGATCCCTTTAAAAGGTCTGATAAAATTGTATAGTGTGGTAAATTCACAGAACAAAAGAGAAAAGAAATTCTTACGGACAAGTAAAAAGCTTGAAAGTATATTAAATGGTTAGGTTTTTTTTGGAGATTAATATTCCCTGTGATCACTTCAAAAGATCAGCATTTCAACCTCTGTGACAGAAGAAAAAGCAAAACAGACTAAAAACCAAGGCATTGAAAGGTTAGGTTGTTTGAAATGTATTTTCCTTGACTTTTGCGGGGAGGGGGAGACTGGGTTTAGAGACTTTTACTTCCAGATCTGGGGAATCAAGCCACATATCAACCTGTCAGGCTAAGCAACGTGGATAAACGAGATACCTTCTCATCGGTGAGTTGTTTGCCAGTCATCAACCAGAGTCAAAGAACTCTGGAGCAACCAGACACTGTTGTCAATTCTCATCAAAAAATGGATAATCTGGATGCTTAACAAATCTAAAAGGCAAAGGGAGAGACTTAGTCAAGTAACTGTTTCTGGGCTGGATAAAGAGAGGTTTCTTCTAAACTGGCTTAAGTATGAAAATTAATGGAACTTTCTTTTGGACAGGTACAAAGGCACCCAGTTTTATAATAACCATGTACCCCTCCTTGACACTGTAATGAATAGAATGTAGAAAATACACTTACAAACTCACGAACACAGGTACAAAAATAAACCAATATGGTGCATTTTTGCAGGTACTGTATTATTCTACAACTTAAGGAGATAAACTCTTTGTGTTGCTATTTTAAACTCCCAAGAGGGCAAAAATGAATTCTGCCTTTTTAAAAACCATGCCAACCTGGTTTAATACATACAGTTAACAAATATTTCAAGGCAATGAAGAGGAAGGTGATAAGAATGTCACTGTTGTTCAATTTCTTTCAAGCACTCAGAAGTAATTCATCTACCCCTTTACTCAGTAAGAAATTACTTTTTAGACCTAGGGATGGATACAGTGATTATGATGTAAGTCACATCAGGGGTATTTCATTTTAGCAAGGGAGGTAGACTCTCTCCCTCTCTCTCTCTATATATATATATAGTAATAATTTTGAGATAGGAAGTGCTAAATCACTAAATAATTAATTACTGATTAAAATGACCAATGTTAATTGCCCGCTTCTCCACTCTCCCTTCCTTTCCTTCTCTATCATTTGATGGTATTATTCCTTCAACCAGCATTTAGTAATCACTCAGGGAGAGGGTAGATTTTTAAAAATCCTGCTCTAGGAATCTAACATTTCGAATAAGGTAAATGGGAAATAAACAGCATAAATCAGTAAACCGTATGGCATGCTAATTAGGAATATGTGCCAACAGAAAAACAAAGTCGAGTAGAGAGAAAGGTCTTGCTGGGCAGGGTTGCATTCTTAGGTAAGGTGACAGAGAAGGTATCACGGAGGCAACCCCTGAGGGAGGACGTGAAGGAGGCGAAGGAGTGGGCATCCAGCTATCGGGAGGAAGAACATTCTAGGCAGAGAGAACAGTCATTGCAAAGGCCCTGGGATGGGCCTGGCATCTGTGAGGAACAGCCAGGAGGCCACAGGGCTGCACTGGAGTCAGCAGGGGGAGAGAAGGACACAGACGCAGACAGCGAGGGAGGGAGCATCCTGCTGGCCCTGCAGGTGTGGTAAGGAACTTGGCCTTCACTCTGAGTGAGAGGACAGGCTAACAGATGTCAAGGAGTGCCCGTTCACTCTGGCCTCCAGGTGTGGAGCAGACGACAGCCAGCTACCTGAGCAGGAAGACTCTGGGATGAGACTGTGTGTCGTGTGGGGGGGGGGGGGCATCTGCACATGCCATAGTGAGCTCAACTGTAGACGTGACAGGTTCGAGATACGTATTCCACACCCAAGTGCAGCTGAGCAAACGGATACACAAATCCTCGTAGGTCTGGGCTGGATATAATTTGGGGAGTGTGTATTTAGATGGTGTTTAAAGCATGAGACTGGATGAAATCTCCGAGGAGGTGGGTGCAGATAGGAAAGAGAAGAGGTCCAAGGACTGAGTCACTCCAAAGTTAAGAGGTCAGGTGCATGGTGAGGAGCCTGCAAAGAACATGAGAAGGACCAGCTAGGGAGACCAAGGAAACGCAGACGGCCTGTGTGAAAGGAAAGCCAGGAACGTGTTCCTAGGAAGAGAGAGCGATTCACCAGCTAAGACAAGATGAATGAGGAGAGGAGGTCATGGCTGACCTTGATGAGAAGAGTTTTGGCAAAGTGGGGGGCAGGTGCCTAGTTTGTGTGGGTTCAGAAGAGAGAGCCTCGAGGTGGCAAGAATAAGCTTCTTCCAGAAGTTTCCCTGCAGAAGGAGGAAGGGGGCGTGGCTGCAGAGTGAAGTCAGCTCAAGAGAAGATTTTGGTTTTGGTTTTGATTTTAAAGATGGGAGCATGAGGAAACAAACTGAGGGTTGCTGGAGTGGGGGGTGGGGTGGGAGGGATGGGGTGACTGGGTGATAGACACTGGGGAGGGTATGTGCTCTGGTAAGCGCTGTGAATTGTGCAAGACTGTTGAATCTCAGATCTGTACCTCTGAAACAAATAATGCAATATATGTTAAGAAAAAAAAAAAAGAAGAAGAAGGTAGCAGGAGGGGAAGAATGAAACGGGGGAAATCGGAGGGGTAGACGAACCATGAGAGACGATGGACTCTGAAAAACAAACTGAGGGTTCTAGAGGGGAGGGGGGTGGGAGGATGGGTTAGCCTGGTGATGGGTATTGAGGAGGGCACGTTCTGCATGGAGCACTGGGTGTTATGCACAAACAATGAATCATGGAACACTTCATCTAGAACTAATGATGTAATGTATGGGGATTAACATAAGAATAAAAAAAAAAGATGGGAGCATGTTTGGATGCCTCTAGGAACCATCCCATGGGGAGGGAAAAATTGATGGGGATGCAGAGTATGGGATTTCCCCAGGTTTCATATAGCCCACTGAATTAAGGCAGTGAGAAGGGCAGAAGTCAAGGGTATCTACAGGGGATGCCAGCACCCCGCTTGCCCCTGGAATGCAAGTGGGGTGGGGACAGAGGACAGGAGAGCCACAGGGAACAGGGGGTCGGAAGGAAGAACGTTTCCCAGCCACTTTCCTAAAAGATGAGGCATCCCTCTGTGGATTGGGACCAGTGGAGCCCATCACCGTCCTGCTCCCCAGCGTCTACAGCACACCGAGCTACTTACATATCTGTAAAATAGCGAATGTTTTTGTTTAGGCCGTCCAGGGTTTCCATGTCCTCTGGTGTCAACTGGAAATCAAAAACCTGTCAGAAACGGGAGATTGGCTCCTTTTCCTTGTGTCCCTGACTGCCCCCGTCCCCCCTGGAGAAACATATATTTATGTAGGGATGTATGCAGGTGTTGTGAGATGGTGGCCATGAACCTGGGGCTCATTCCCCTGTGTGGCAGTGTGTCCACTGAACTCAGACCACCCTCGGGGTTGCTGGGTGGGTGTGGGTGTGGCTGGAACAAAGGAATCCTAGACAAAGGAATCCTAGGTTTAAGCCCAAATCACATCTCATCTAACTCCTCCATTCTGCCCCTGAAGAAATCAAGGCCATACTGTGGGGTAAAAAAAACAACATTGAGACCCAAACCTGACCCTCTGGAGTCCTTTCCCACATTCCCTCCCTGCCTCAGCCGGATGATAGAGCAGTTACATGCAGCACTTAGATGCACACAGTATACACCCAAACAGACCTCGGGGGCCTCACAAATAACCCAGACCCGAGGGAAATGAGGCACTTCTGTTGGTCCCCTGCTGCCCACAGCCCTACCACAAACCTGGAAGTTCTCCCGAATTCTCTTCTCGTTGAAACTCTTGGCCAAGGCCACCACTCCCCGCTGCAGCTGGAAACGCAGGGCCACCTGGGCAGGAGTGCACCTGTGCTTCTCGGCAATGGCCTTGAGCACTGGATCCTTCAGGAGAACGGGGGTGTTCTTGTTCACCCTGGAAGAGAGGCAGAGGTGCCGTGTGCCTGCGGTTATACCCACTCACGCTACGGGGGCTTCATCCTCTGAAATCCGCCTCATTACCCTCTGACTGTCTCCATCCCTGTTTTCGCTTCTTTTGGTAAATCCAGAGAAGGACCAGAGAAAGGAAGGCAGAAAAGGACTCTCAGGTATTATTTCTCTTTTCTTAAACTTTTCTGAGAAATGTAGTAAAAGACTGGATAAGTCAAGAAGATAAAATGTTTGTCCAAAGCAGGACCCAATAATCTCCATGATAATAAATAATCCAATTATTTTATAACAACTTCAAAAATGCTTTCAAGTAATGATCTGTTCTGTCGAGTGCTAAAAGGTGCATTTTTTTTTAAAGATTTTATTTATTTTATTTGAGAGAATGAGATAGAGAGAGAGAGCATGAGAGGGGGGAGGGTCAGAGGGAGAAGCAGACTCCCTGCTGAGCAGGGAGCCCGATGTGGGGCT